TTTTTTTTTTTTTTTTTTGGTTAAAAACTTGTTCTTTTATTAGTAGTTTAATTATTTCAAAGTAACCATTACAAACAGTATTTTTTGGGCTGCTGTATCTGTTTTGGAGTACAGAAACCGAAAATATTTCACTTCCACTTAGCACTTACTTATTGCCTTGTTATTCAGATAGATTTAGGCATAAGATCAGTTGCCGTTTAAGCAACAATCTAAATGAATAAAAAAACCGCACAAACGCAGAATAACACTTAAAAAAAGCTGAACTTTCTTTAGTCTGTTTCAAGACAAACAAAAAAAAATTACAGTCTAACTTTAAAGCGTCTTTGACTTTTCTCTGCACGACAAACAATCTTGAGATAGTTCTAATAGCTTTATTGTCTTTTTGCAACATAAAGTTTCTATAAATAACTCAACAAACAAATGAACTAAAACTCTTCAAGATTGAAATGGAAAGGTAGCCAAACTGTAGAGCCTTCCTCCTCCCACGTCTCCGCATCTGTTTCCTTCTTCTGCCTCAAATCCTGTAAAAAAGAAAAAAATTAGTCTTCCACCTATCGTTTTTTTTTTTTTTCAAATGAAGATAGACAAAAAAAAATTTAGCTTATTCTAAGCTAAGCAAACTTGACAAAAAGTCTCAAGTATATGCATATCACTGCGGAACCAAATAGTCCTGAATCTATTCAATTTATCACTGATCCTTAGTGATTATAAATTACCTAATCTATAAAAGACATGTCCAAGATGTGGTAATGAAACTGCCACTAACGTCACTTTACTGAAAGTACAAGACTTTTCAATTCATTCGCCACGACTCAATATTTCAACAATTTTATTCAATGCTTAAAAGAAACGGCAGCACAAATAGCACTACAATTACATCAAATAGATATTTTGGTAGCTATGTAGTTAGAAATTTAATATATATATATGACAGCTGAGACAAAAATAGAAAAAAAGCAGTGACGGTAATAATGCTACATGGTTGCTAAGTACCCGAGTAGAAATTTCTTTTTTCTTCTTCCCCCCTCCCTTCCCTACTCTCATATTTTTTTTGCCGTTTTTGATGCAAAAATTCAACAAGTTTTACTACTTGCAACAAAAAAAGTCGATTTTGATATTATTTCTATAAAATAATACTTTTGAAAGCCAAAATGCATTCAGTTTTGTCTTTGTTGTTGTAGTTGTGGCTAATATAGTTACCGCGTGTTCTTTCTTCATCGTAACTGTTCCTGCCTAGTGGCTTTGATTGTAATTGTGTGACTGTTTTTCTAGGTGCTGTGATCATTGTCCTCAGTTTCGCTTGGTCTTGCTTGGTCTCGCCTTACCGCTGTTTACTTCGGCATTAAAATAGCTTCTTTAAAGAGATTGAAAAAAAAGAGAGAATAAGAGAAGTCCTCTATCTTCTTTTCCTTTTTACCTTTTTTATCTTACATTTTCCCCTCTTTATTTCTAAGAGTGTCAGAAAAAGATAAAAGTTGCCGAAGAACACGCTAATTCATGATGCTGAAAAGATGGAAAGGGAAAAGTGACGCCAGCTTTTATACAGCGTACAACTGTAGAGGTTGCAACTGAGTGAACAGAGAGCGGCACATAAACACACACACACACACACACACACACACATACACACACACACACACACACACACACACATACACAAATACGCGTATATGTGTATGTAGCACAAAAACACACAGAACATTCAAGAAGCACACACATACACACGGACACAGACACACACAAACATACATACAAACATACACTCACACATACATATATACAGACTACGCAGGTTAAAAGAGATAAAGAGAGAGAGAGGGAGAAAGAGAGAGAGGGTAGCTAAAATGAAGGGACGGGAGAAAACACAGCGCTTCTAGAGTTCGGTTCGACCAGGAGGGGAAAGCACTGACAAAGACAGTTCCGTGTCTCGCCCATCCTCATTCCCCTCCCCTCTCTCCATTCCCTCTCCAAAAAAAAACTACTTTCTTGTTTATCCCAAGGGACCAAGATTACTTTTAGTCCTTTCTTTTTTTTATATTCTTCAGCATATTTGCTGCTGATCTTCTGACTTTATTTGGCTTATTTGTTTAAATTGACTAGGAAAATTTGTAGTAGTTGATTTGTGATCGTCGACTTTAGTTCGACACAACTTTTTTTCGTGCTGCTGCTGTCGCTGGACTGTCGTTAATATTATTTGTCTTATTTTCAATATTGCTTTTGTTGTTTTTCTTTTCTTAATTTTTTATTATTTTATTTTTTTTGTTTTGCTGCTTGTTTTCTAATTTTATCGTTACTATTAATGTACTATCAATTATTGATGCTGCTGGTACGATTCAATTCTGTCATAGTCGGTTGTTTTTGTTGTTATTAGCGTTTACTGGTAGTTTAGAGTCTGTGATTATTGTGTTTGATTATTGTGCAAAAGGAAATATACTTGCTATCATCATTTTTTGATATTTTGAGTGATATGTGGGAACCAGAACTGTGGCTTCCCAGAAATGTTACCTGGGCTGAAGTTCCAAGTAAATCTGAGGACCTAATGTATCCGTTGATTATTTCACTGCCACTGCTGCTAACACGAATATTCTACGAGTCATTTGTTGGTGTTCCGCTGGGTTGGTTAATCGGTTATCGCGATGAACCGCTGGGGAAACAGATTAAGCAACATTTGTTATTCGGTTTTGCGACTAATACAAGGTCTAAAAGGGTTCTGGAATGTCTGTTCCGATTTTCATTTTATACCGTACTGTGGCTTTACGGTACCTATGCATTATGGGATGCTCCATGGGTTTATGATGTAAAACAGTGCTGGATTAAGTATCCAATGCATCCAATTCCAGATACGATATGGTTAGTCAACTACCAATCTTCTGTTTGTTACTTCCTTTACTACACTTAAATTTCTGTTTTTTTTTCTGCTGCTATTGTTATTCAATACTTAAATTATGCATTTTGATTGCTGATGAAATAAGAAGCAAAAAAAGAGAAAAAAACGAAAAGTAAGAAGCAAATATCCATTTTTTTTCTCGCTTTCTCCTTAGAATCATAATGTGATAAGCAAATATGCAACCAAATGTTCGTTTTTTTCAGAAGCTAAAGCATTTAGGTATATGTTATTCGTATGTTCTTTTTGTTTTTTACTTTGAAGGTCTTCGAGTGTTTGAAAAAAAGCTTGATTTGTTAAAGCGGTAAAGAGCAGTCTAACTTATTTAATACAGCTTTTTCGGCAATTCTCATTCGCTTTTTTTTTGCTTAAAAATGAGGAAAAAAAAAGGATTTTTCGTTCGTTACTTTCCGTTTCCTATCCTCTTCTCCTAATCTTCCGCTGTCCGCATCTCTCTTCCTACCGCAAAACTTTCAATCAGCAATGAGCAAATAATTTTGTTGCTTGTGTGACAGGGCAAAATAAAAAACGGTTTATCTGACACCTGAATACTTTGTAATTTTTAATTCTGCTACTATAAAAAAACGTGAAAAAAAAGCAATTTTTTAATTCTTTTTCGGTGAAATATAACGCAACTTTTTTTTCAATTTTGCTGATTCTCGATTTCTGAGTCTGTATTTTTGATTTTGAGGACCCTGGCACACGGAAACACAGACTGGAAAAGTTGTTGAAACATTTTCAATTTCATTATCTATGTGGACTTTATAGGAAAGGTTGTGAAATGGAAGAGGAGGAGAATGATAGGAGATAAAAAAGCATGTGAAAAATTGATGTATTAAAGGAAATGAATGAGGTCAGAAAATATTTATTAAGGCTTTTCACCTTTTATTTTATCGTCTACTTTAGTAGCTTTTAGCTAACAGGTATGTATCCTGGCCTTTTTTTGCCACCTTTTTTTTTTTTTGGAAAAGTGGCACTGAAAAAAGAGGAAGTATAAATGATAGAGATATTCTTATAGTTTTTACCAGAATTTGTATTTCATATGAAGTTTGTTGAGTAGGTGACACGTTGTTAACACGAATTTTATTGATAAACAGAACGCTTGAACGAATAGATAAACTGTTGTCTGCAACAATGTACCAAATGTACAGCAACAGTTTCATGTTTTTCATGGACTTTCAGTTTTTTATTTGTATTTTTTTATCTTTTCACTATGTCGATAAACCCTATCAACACTTTGAAATCGTCGGTTCTTTTATTTTATATTTGCGTATTCATTTGCATTTCTCTGTGTCTGTACGTTCGATCTGCAGAAGTAAACTATTTTGGGAGGCGAGAAGTGATTGACTGTTAACCAGTTAGGTAGATCAGTAGTTAGATATAATTATCAATTTGGTATATATCTGTTGACTGTTGAAAATTTAATTGCTAAGCCAGTTCTATTTGACTTAGATTGAAAGCTGGTTCTTCTGTATTCATCTTCTTTATCCACTTCTTCTTCTCCGTCTTCTCCTTCTTCTTCTTCTTCCTCTTCTCCTTCACCTTTACCTTTTCCTTCTCCTTCAACTCACTCTTGCTTTTACTGCTATTTTTCGACTGACCCTTTTTCTGCTCCGCTCTATTCACTATTCAGTTTTTCTGATGATTAGTTTAATGAGAAATGGCAGTGATTTTAGCAAGTCGCTGTAGCGATAAGTAGAGTAGTAGTAGTACATTCTTTGTTAAAATTGAGCTGGTTTTGCAGAAAAAAAGCGTTAAAAGACTGCGAAAAAGAAGCTAAATATTTTTGTGATTCAACTTTTTGAAAAACTGTAGTTGTGCGGCGCTGTTTTTAAAAAATATTTTTAACATTTTTTAGAAAGGGAAAAAAAACTTTCTATATTTTTCTGATAAAACAATACTGCGGAAAAAGAAGGAAGAAAGGGATAGTGAAAAGAAAGTGCTGAAAAAAAAAGTTGAATAACACAGAGCAAGTTTTGACATGACGAATGCTGGTGATTTGAACAAAAAAGTTTTACTTTTTATTATTTTTTGTTTATTTTATCAAACATGACAATTTGTTTCCCCCGTTTCCCCGCGCCGCACTCTTGTCCCTGCCTAATCCGCAAGT